GTTCACAAATTAAAGCCATAAGTGCACACACAACAATTGAGCTGTAGTCTTTCTTTGTTCCAACGCTTCTATGCTGTTGAAAGATGACAATTTATACTCTTTGAATGAATAAGGATTTGTCTTAGGTCTAGGTATTTATTGCATAATTGGCCCGTCTATGAACAAAAGGACTGTTTGTTAATTCCAATATTTGCCAAGCATGTGTATTTGTCTAGGTTTTGCCCATACATCACGAATGCCTGTGCAAATTATTTCTGAGTTTAACATGCGTTGTTTGCTTTCTTTATTTGTGCGCTAAATATCGTGGCAGAGTTTCAGCTAAAAGGTTTCTTCTTTCTTCATTATTAAACTGAGAATTAGGGCCTGGAGTTTCAGAGGAATATCAGTTTAGGTGTATTTCAGCCTTTGTTTTGTCTGTGAAACTTCCATCTCCACAGTCACTTCTACGTGATTTTCCTTAGCATTAACAACTATTGCGAAAATTACTAAATTAGAAATGTGTTTTTGTGTTTAGATCCTTGCCTTTAGTAATCTGTCTTCAATACAGTAGTAAGCCTAATCCAGTAACTGCCGATAAGGAAGGGGAGATTTTAAAATTTACTTTGGATCACAGGTAAGCACCTGCGCCTTTTATTCTGAACGCAGATAATGAGCTGACCATGTTCGGGTCATGAAACAATGTGAAGAACAACAGTTTTCACTGGGATTCTGATTTTCTTAAGTTAAACATGGAGGGGTTCAGTAGATCTAGTCTGATTAGAAAGGCAGGAATATATTCCAGATTTAGAATTGATGCAAATTACTTTTCCCTTGAAGGGAGATAGAGATTAAAGGCCCTGCTATTATGTTTCAGCAGCTCAAAGATATTTCTACCCCTTCACAAATATTTGTGGCAAATCCCTAATTCATCCTTTAGGTAGCTCTCCAATTTTTAAAAAGTCACCCTGAATGCATGCAGGCTTGCTTATGTTTGTTCTGCCTTTGTAAGCGGCCTTTAGAAACTTGTGTTCTGCTGTACTGCACAAATAAAAATTGCATGTTGTAATTCTCACCTGAGATTTTTAATAAACACTTATTTTCATTGTACTTTTTCGCTTTGCAGGTAATTGTACGGATTTCAGCATACAACTTTTGTATATTTCTAGAATAAACTCAGTTATGCTCTGATATTTGATATATGGTTGTTCCAGATGTTGGAGTTAGAATAGCAAGAAGTTAAAAATTGGCATAGCTCAGACACAAAGCACTGGATTTGTTGTTTTAGGAAAGCACAAAACACCTGCAATTGCCAGAAAAATGTCATCTTGTACAAAGGGGCATGTTCCTTGTCTATCTATGTCTCCTTATGTACCACTTGCCACTTTTTTCCCATGAAAGAAGTGACACGAATGCAAGAAAAAGTAGTACTCATTACAAAGCTTTTGAAGAATTTGATATTTAAATTATTTTATAGTGAAAATACTATAATGAATTCTTCACTCAAAGAGAAATTCTTTGAGAACTCAAAAATTTTTGAGCTCAGATAATTGGAGATGTCCCCCTGAGCTTAAGTTAGTCTTGTTTTCCAACTAAAAAGTTGATAATGCAAGAGATGCATGACACAGAAATGCTGAAAGAATTGGTTTTACATTTTGATGACATATTTGTTCCTGTAAGTTCAAGGCCATTTTAGCCTGCAAAAAATGGCCATATGTATATCAGTAATAAGCACTACAGCAATGGCAAATCTCCAGTGATGATCACTTGTTTTATAAGGTCATATCTTAATGTTGCATGCTTCCGCTAAGGCTGGTGGGAGTTGAGCGCACTTTGTGGTAAGATTGGAGCCATCATTATGGGATCCTGCTATCAAAACCAGACTCTTTTAAGTGCCTGTTTTTGTGATAGGTGTGGTACATAAATGCTGTTTTATTAAATAGCAAAATAAATTACTGAGGTTTGACCTCAGCTAAGGCTTTATCACTGTTGCCCTGCTGGTGAACTCTTTAAGACAGAGCTTTTTCATGGAAGTTGACATGTCGTCACTTTTTGGGGTAGAAAGAGTTAATGGTGCATTTTGAGGCTGCACTGAAATGTATGTTATTGCAAATCTTATGCAAAGCTCTGGCTCCTCAGGAAAAGGCAGCACAATATAGGGCCAGAATTTAACCATTCTTTTTCTTTTTCAGCCTAAAACCATCTTGACTCTCCAATAAAATGTCATTCACCTTTCCAGAAGAGTGTTTTGCAGTGGAGGAAGAGGGTGGCAAAGCAGTGTGGACACTGTTGCCTGGACGTAGCATTTTTGTTGCTGGTCACTGAATAGCAACTTCTGTAATCTTGACAGTGCTAGTAGTTGCCCCTGGGACAGAGGAAAAAAATTCAGAACAGTCCATAAAGTTCCTGTTGGTTTTGAAAGCAAAAACATCTGCTAGAGTCATGAACAGTTTGTTAGCTGAGTTCAATAACAGGAAAGCCTGCAGTTGATCAGCTGTACCCTCCAAAACAGGCATTAGTGCAGGCAGTAGAATTTATTGTAGGGGTGTTAGGAGATACAGGGAAGATTAGGGCAGCAGCAAAACGTGTCAAAATAATGTTTTTGTTTCAACAGTTTTGAATATAAGCTTTACTGGTAAGGAAGAAATATAGGCGTTATGGTTTCACATTTAAATATTTACAGTAAGTCATCAGCTGTTTGTAATCCAGGAGGGTGTGTATATTTTCTTAATACAGGTTTGATATGGGCTAGACAGAACCATCCGTAAGTCACAGAATAAGAACTGTCACCGTTGTAATGATGTAGATGAATATAGTTTCTACTCTCCCTTGAAAACTGATGAACATGCAATGCTTAAATAATGTCTGTAGTTGCTTAGATGTAGGCACAAACTGTATTGATTTCAATGAGTATAGCAGATGCATAGTATCTCATGAGAAAAACATGATATTTTGAAAGAACGTATCCTAACATATATAGCACTTTAAATAATATTTTAACAGGTTGGGTCCTGAATTGCGATTTTCAGAATGAGGACATGCTGCAATATAGAGGTGTTAGAAGCTGCTCTATAGTTGAGGTTGTGTTCAGATACCCACTTGAAAAAAGCAGGATGAAAATCCTTTTATTTCGTATAGTATACAGATTTATGAAAAAACTGTACTGTTAATATCATAGAGGCGCCATTCTGTATTTATGGTTACAATTGCGTCTGCTTTGCCATTATAAACTCTTATTATTAGGGGTTTACAACATGGCTGTAAAAATTTGTAGAGGATGGAAACTTGACACATAAAGGTCAACCTCATAATAATATACTTTTTAAAAATCAATTTTAAAAATTTTGATTGCTTTTAGATTATGTGACTATAAAAATAGTGATTCTAATTTCAAGATTGTCCAATGTCCTAACACAACGGCATAGAACTCTTTTGTCTTACCAGAGTAACTTTTGTTACGTTTGCTTCTTTTAACTTGCATTTATGGTGTCTTTTCTTTCGTCAAAATGGGTATGGTTTCTTAGTGCTGAATCCAGGCCTCCAACAGGCCTGTGACAGGCACAAGAAATTGAAAAACATTGCCTGTCTTATTGTCTTAGGTGCTTACTTGCGCTTGCTTGTTTTAAACTCTTTCAGGTTTCTCAGATGTGAAGTTGTAGTTAGAGCAGCAGTAGTGCTACCTAAGTCAGCTAGGCCGTAAGTTTTAGTGGCACATTTAAATGACTCAAGGATCAGGAGCTATGAAATGTTAACCTTTACAACAGTGTCTAATACTCTCCTTTTTTTCTGGGTAGCATTTGAACACTAATTTGTGATTTCCCCAAAGTTTTATGCATATTTGCTAATGGTTTTAAAGTGTCTTTGATTATGTATTATGCAATCTGCAATACTGAAAAACTTTCGTTTTTCCTGTTGTAGTAAGTCCATATGAAGTAGAATGAAAGCAATGAATAGAGTAACAAAATTAACTTGGTTTTGTTCTCTGAATTGAGGTGGCTATTCTGTGCCATTCTTTTGAAAAAAATAGAGACTTAAGTTTTTATGTGGTTGTAGTAACAAAAGATTTTAATGGTGCTTTTCAAAAAAGGTTTCCTGATGGGAGTTGTGGGCAGATCTGATGTTGAGGACAAACCTTAAGAATCTCAGAACTGCAGTACATAGTCAAACCAAAAATTTATTCAGCTTAGGATCTCGTCTCTGGTAGCTGCTAGAAGTAGACGCTCCAACTTCCAGTGTTTTTCTCAGAATTATTATGAGATTTTTTTATATAGTATTACTGTAATGAGATACAACACTTAAATACAGTTTCTAGTATTCTACAGTTGAATGAAATCATCTCAATATTTAGCATTTAGCAAAGTAAACATCAAACTCTGCTTTGTTATTTATTCTTGATGAATATATTGTTGTTACTGTAGTAGAAGGGTGACATTAAGGTTGTTATCAGGCACTTCCAATTGAATTGGGAAAAAAACCCCAAACCCTAAAAAATACAAGTTGCTTGTGAATCCAGCTTTAAATTAATTACATCAATCTCCAAGTGAGTGATCATTCAATTCAGGAAGTCTTGGAAGTTCTCTTTATTCAAAGTTAGTCCATGTACCAGTGCTTCAAGACAGTTTTTGTTAGTGCAGTTTAATGTAGTTGTCCTGACATGGATAATCTGAAAAGTTTATAGGAAGAGCTTACATCATTGTCAGTGTCATTTCTCAGTGTTAAATTCCTTAAGATAGATGGGTTTTGTCTCTTATTGGAGCTGCTGTGTATGTTCATTACATGCTTCAGGTTAATAGGAGAATTATTATCATAATGTCCGTGTACAAATTCAGGTTTTAAGAACAGAAATGTCACTTGTATTATCAATATTTAAGCTCTTTCTGTGCTCCAGCATATTGTCACAGATTTGTGAAAATACATATTTTGCTGTACTAATACCTTACTGAAAAAGTTTATTTTAAAAACATTTAACAGTAAGTTTGATTTTTCAATTTTATATTTTGTTTTTTCTTTCTTTTTCTTTACAGTGGTTCCACCAGGGAGTCCTGGACCTATTACTCGCCATGAATCGTATGATAGCTTAGCATCTGACCACAGCGGTCAAGAGGATGAAGAGTGGCTTTCCCAGGTTTGTGTTTGGGCAGTTCTAGTTCAGAAGTGAAACAATAATAGTATCCTTCAGAAGTAAAATTCAAAACTTTATTCAAAATAGAAAGTAAACTTTGAGTAGACCATGGGTATAGCCTTGTGTAAAACTGACTTCAGTCCTGACGTGTGGCGTGAATTTGATGGACTTCTCTTTTATACAAACCCGTATAAATCCCTAAACGTTATTGGCAAAAGTTACGTTCCTGGCAAGTTCAGGATGAAGTCCGAAGTTTAAGCTGGCCACAAAAAATGACCTCTCTGCATTTCCCAGCTCATGTGGTCCTTTTCGGACATGGATAAAGGAATTTGATTTGGCAAATGAGGCAGCCTTTTCATCTGTGGCCTGTGCTATACTTGCTGCATTTTAATATGGCTGATAGATTAACTTGTTTACTTCTTTTTTTTTCTGGATATCAGTTACTGCATTTTCCACTGATAATTCCTCTGAGTTGAGGCTAAATGCAAATACTGCAGTGCTTCAAGATGATCCTGCTTGGTGGAATGTTCTTCAATTAGGTTAAATCTTTGTGATTTTATGCATTTTTTCTTTGTTTCAGTCCAGTGAAGGTTCTCCCTAAGAACTCAGTAAATTTTTGAGGATTTAGCTTAAACTATAATCTTGGTTTAAGAAGATAGGTTGTGGATAGTGCACTGAGATTCAATTTCTATTAGCAATAAAGTAAGGTTAGAGTTAAATAAATAAATAAACTACAAACGCTCTGGAATTACCGAAGCCGTGTATATGGTACCTGATACATGAGATTCATCCCAACAAATTAGGTGGGTTTCGTTCAGTGTAAAAACAGTGTTATTATGAGAGCAATGCATCAAATGCGTTGTAGGGGTATATGGCATTGTTCCATGAGTATTAAAAATTCATTGAAATATTCATACATGTTTTTTTTTTTCTCCCACTGGTGGATAAATCATACACAGCATTTTCCTAAAATGAGAAGTTAGGTTTCCGTGTGTGCCCCATAGGGAACTGCATTCATTGGGGAAGTCTATTCACATGAATCCACTTAGCTTGCCTTAGTTTTCAGTTGTGGTTTCTCGTTGACATATCTGAATTGCTTAGGCTATCTCTAATTTGTCAGAGCATAAAGATGATGAAACTGCTGAATCACAGTAGCATTTTGTCACTGAGCTCATTGGGACCGAGATTTCATCTGTAGTTTTCCTTGTGTTTGTTCCTTATAAAGCCTCTCCAATATTGTTTGGATAGTTAGCTCGTTTTACTGTTCTGGTGACTTTCCAGTAGAGTGGGCAAGCTCAGAAAAAGAGAATAAGGTGAACCTACACTATGGGGGTTGGTATATTACTAGTTCTAGGTAGATATAAAAAGTCAAAGGAACTTCAGATTACTCAAACTTCATGACATCTACCCTTCACTACAAGAGTAAAATATATTTATAGGAAAAAAATCTCCAATGACATCACTCTAATCACAGAGAATTCAGAGAATGCTCCAGGAATGTTTAATTTTTGCTAAGTGAAAAGGGTGATGATATCTCTTTTGAACATGAAGATGCTAGCATTCTCTAAGCAAGCCACTTTAGATTAAGCCTAAGGAGCAAGTATGTTTTTCAAAATTAAAGTGTTGTTATCAACAGTAACAGCATGCGGTGAAAAAACACTGCCCTTCACTTCAACTTTTCAATTAGAACAGTGGGTAATGTGTGCTGTCAGTGTGAAGTAGATACAATATGTTTGTCCTGCACACAACAGGAGAGTGAATAGGAACATCTGGCCGTAGCCTCAGTAAAATTGCAAAGGCATCTGTTTACCTCTCGGCTCTGTGACACTGATGGTTTCAAGCTTAAAATATACAGATTACTTTATCTGTGGCCTAATTTACACTGCTACATAAAAGCTACTTGACTCAGAAATGTCTACAGTCAATCTGAGTTACGCTAAAATAAATGAAAAGACGGAAACGGTGCTAAATAGGCTGTGTAGTCTTATGTTAGCAAAGAACTATCTTAGAACGTTACCTAGTGTTTAAAATGGCTTCCTAAAGAATTAAGAGTCACTGGTAATACAGAAATGTAAGAGTAAAGAAAACTAAGATACACATATGTCATAAACTACAGGAAGATGTTTTCATGAAATTCCTTACTAGGTTGCATTCTTGTAGTGAAGCTGATACTGTTTTAGCAGAAATTGATAGGAATTTAATAGTCTATTTTGTCATCTTAAAACAGCGTTCACCAAAGCTTAATGTTTTTAATCTCATATTGGCAGTTTCAGATAAAAATCTAATGTGTGTGTGTGTTGTTTCACACTGCAAGCAAACAGCTTTACCTCTATTTTATTTGTCAGAATTTCAGTTAAATGAGTGTATATATATGATTTAGCTGCTGTTCTAAACTACGTTGCATATTTATGTTTGTATTACATACGTGTATAACGAATATGACCTGAGCTGTTCAGTGCCTTATCTTGTACTCCTCATTGCTCTCTGTGTTACAAATTATACTGCTTTTCAGCAAGATGGTTTCTGCCAGCAGTATCCTCACATATGCCAGCAGTGATTATGAGCTTTGATTTGAAGTACAGTTCACAGTAACATACATGTGAAGCAGTGCTGTTTAATGTGTGAACTCTTAGAAAGCCACAGTAACAAAACTGTAACAGCTTGCTTTTAAAAAGTACATTCCTTGGCCTGGTCAGGATTAAAGTTATTGACAAGCATATTTGGTGGAGGTGAACTTTCATTTGCTTTGTCTAATCCCTGTGGATTCAGACAGAAATCTATTCCTCTATTTCTTGCTGCCCCAATGCTAGCTTGTTAGCTTTTGAGTTGTAGCATATATTTCATAATGGCAAGGGAAAGTAATGAACAGAATCAAGTGAAATGATGGCCTTGACAGAATTACAGTCTTCAGAACAACTTAAGAACTGGAGTGTAGTCCTAAAACTGGTGATTCAAGGGTTTTCAGGCTCTGCAAAAAGCTCTTGGCTTTGGCTAGAGCAGACCCTCTGTAGCAAACACATTCTGAATTTTCCCTTGTTCAGTGTTCTGCCAAACTGACGGCAGAAAAAAATTCCTTTTGCCTAATAGCAATAGGATTCTGGGAAGTTCAGTGTATTGAAGGAACCGCTCAATTATTAACTTGCAATTTTGGGCTAAGCGTTTCCCAAAATTCTCACAGGTTGAAATAGTGACTCACACTGGGCCTCATAGACGCCTGTGGATGGGCCCGCAGTTCCAGTTCAAAACAATTCATCCGTCTGGCCAAACAACAGTCATTTCATCCAGTTCTTCAGTGCTGCAGTCGCATGGTCCAAGTGACACACCACAACCTCTTCTGGACTTTGATACAGATGATCTTGATCTCAACAGTCTCAGGTAAAAATAAAATTAATTTCCAAGCTCTTTAACATTTCTTGTGTGAATAACTTGCTTTATGCTTAAATAAGCCCATCTGTGTGGAATGTGTAATAGTTTTCATCGAGATTGTCCAGATGAGAGAAGAGAGTATGACTTGATAGCAATAACAATTCATCCTGGCCAAACAGCTTAGATTCCTTTCTGTTATTGCTTCTTGCCTAAATGACGATGGAAGGTAATAATAAAGTCCAGTTGTCTTGTTCTGTTGCATTCAGTCTATGAAATGTTTGCATTATACAGAAATGCATAATATGACCAATCCCATTAAAATTGAGCAGATTGTCTTTGGACTGAAAATGTATGTTTTTGAAACGTGTGATTTCTCCTTGCGTAAAATTTTACCCGCAGGTAAGAATATAGATGCCCAGTACCCTCTAAAGTGATGTGAAATACATTAATAAGTTACCTTTTTTATATTGTGTATATATGCACACATAAAGAAAGAGAACGGAAATTTAAAAAAATTTAGAGATGTATTTTGCAGAAGGTTCAGACATGTACATAGTATCTTTTCTCCTAAACCAGCAAAGAACGTGTTGCTGTTCAAGAGGACAAAAGAGGAATTTAAAACAGTTTGAGTAGGGTGGGTGTTTTCCTTTTTCCTTTGAGGCTTTCTAAGAGCCCTCATCTGAGACATAATTTGGAGATGCTCGCTTTGTGTATAGTCTCGGTTTGTCTGTGGCTGTTATCTGTATCTTGTTTCCACTAAGCAAAGGAGAATAAAAGTTTTCAGTTGCTGGTTGATTTTAAAATAGATAGTTGCTTAATTAGTTGGCTCAGTCAGGGTTGTGATTTAATAAAAGCCCTTATGAACAGTAATTTTGATGTAGATGGCAACTGTGATTTATCTTTCAGGATTCAGCCAGTTCGTTCGGAACCTGTTAGCATGCCAGGATCATCACGTCCAGTTTCTGATCGCAGAGGTGTTTCAACAGTGATTGATGCTACCTCAGGTAGAAATGTGTTGATTTCATGTTTTCTTTGATATTCGTGGTTTTCATCAGCCTTGTCTTTTTTTTTTTTTTCCCCACCTCTGATAACATGTTTACTAATCAATGCCATATAATTAAAAGGATATCAAGATTTTCAGCTGCACTGTAGGGTAAGTGCCATCTTACATAAACACATACTGAAGGCTACCATGATGATGATTTTTCTTCCTTCTTAGCACTCAAATCTGAAGTCACAGCATTATCGTAAGATATAAACGCAATATTTGCATTCAGTTTAACATGAGCTTCAGAATACTAGAAATTCCTAAACTAAAAAGCAGAACATCATGCAAGTGCTAACGCTCAAACGCTCTTATAATGATTGCCTAAAGCATAGAATATTACAATTCCATCTCATTTATAAAATACCTTTCATTGAAATGTAATCATAAATGTAGTATTGATTTCTGTGAACATTCAAGACTACAGAGTAGTTTAATGTTTCTGTAATGGGCATATTTTCACTACTCTAAAAGCGTGTGTAAATTTAATACAGCAGTGGTTATATTAATATCAACATAGTAATATATGTTCTATAAAGTTTTCTTCTTTTTCTCATAGTGCTGGAGTATAATCTGTATAAAGAAACACAGACAGCAGCACTTTATATTCTAGTACAGCTGCATAGCATCTGAAGGTTCCACCCAGCAGGATTTTGTCAAATAAAATCTCTCACAAGTAGAATATTAAACACACAGCATTAGTCAAACAGTCAAGTCAGAGAGGATTTTAATCTTTAGCGATTTGAAAATCCCTGGAGACTGCTGATTGGATTGAGGTTAAACTGTGAAGGGAAACTGTAGCACATACAGAAACTGATTTCTGAAGGTTGTTTTAAAGAGAGCTGAAATAAAACCTCCTGTTCCAGATTCTGTTTTCTATGGATATACGTTTGGACTCCAAGATATTGCTTGGTTTTCCAGATCAATTTCTTTTTTACAGGATATTACAGGAGATATATATATATATATATATACACACACACACACACACACACACATATATTATATATATATTTTTTAGTTTGGTGTCTGTAACTGAGTTCAATAATAACTTCATTTACTTTTGCTATTGAGGATTGTTGTTATAAATTCCATTTTCAAATATTTAGAACTTGTTGAAGTAACTCAGGTTGAGCTTAGACAAACATCTGACATTGCTTACTTAAAGGGAATGTTATTTGTTTTAGAATATGTCAAAGTAATTTTGAAAATAATTGTTTGATACGTAAGAAAACACGAATGCATCAGTTATGATTTTTTTGGACTAGTTCATCTATGTTCAGTACCCCTAAAAAGTTACAAGCTTGAATCAGAGGAGTGCTGCTGGCTGTATATCTGAAACTGGAAGTTCAGTGATTAATGGCATAGTTCTTTTCCACCAGCGTGGCTATGCTGATACGGATAGAGACGTCTGTGTTGCCAGGTATTCTTTCCTTATTTTTAGCTCTTGTGTATGAATGGAGCAGTGCAGTAACCTGTAACATGGATGCATTCTAATTCTGAAATGTAACCATAAAGCATTCTATAAATGCATTGTTCTGTCTACACGAGAAACAATGAACCATGTAGGACCGTACCTCTTCTATGCTAAACAACCTTTGCTGTAGTGTGGATGGACCCTTAATGTAGAATGGCTCATATGAATGTGATGAAGCTCTATCAGTAATGCCTTTAGCATGTGTGTCCATATTAAAATTGCCAAAGTCAATTGTATACATCATTATGACACTAAAAATATATTTACTGTACAGCAGTGACTCAGTTTTGTTATAACACCTCATAAGTTTCTTATAAACAATACATGGATTTTGTGAGAGGCATGCTGATAGCAGTATTTTATTTAACTTCATTGCCAGACAGTTTGGATTTGAATTGATTTTTGAATCAGGGACTTTAACATCTATTTACAGTTGTTTGTATTGCCTGAGTCCCAGTCCTTTCCCATGCAGAAACTATTGCTCCGTATTAAGGGTGGATGTGCCAGATTATGTGTGATGGTATAGGGATGTGAACTCTGCTGTAGAGTAAACGGGACACAAGAAAAAGCATGGACTGTTTCTTGAGTCCAGCAAAGGAAGAGTATTTTATGCTGGCTGACTTTTCTTTCCACCTTTGAGGTTTTTTCTGTTTTAGTATTTATTAGTTGTGCAGAAAGTTGCATTAAGCTCAGTTCTGAATATAAAGGTTGTATTTTAAATACTGTTCATGTATGATAATTTTTTTGGTAGTGTAGTTCACTCCTGTAAATATTCTCATTTCCTGCTATTACCAAGACATAACCTAAATGGCTTGCGTTCTTTATGGAAAACAAATTTATTGGAAATACATTTTTAGGTTTGAGGATTTTTTTAAAGTAGGTCATAAATTTTTACTACCTAAGCTGAACCAGGAAGTGATTCTTCAGTTATGACCCATGCATTTGAGTCTGTTGCACTTTATGAAGATGCTTATCTGGCTGTTTGATTGCCTGTTGCTTAGAGATACAACCAGAGTGGCGCCTCTTCTTATCTAACTCCATCACTTGTTCTTCCCATCAAAAGATTTCAAGTACATGTTTGTCATCTATAATTATTCCTGCAGCATACTTTATAGCTTCCTTCCCTCTCCCCTGTTGGTGACAACTCTTGTCTTTGCGTTTCATGAGACATTCATGTAGTTTTTTTTTTATCATCAATTAAAAATTACATGTGTCTGTAAAACTATTGAATACTCATAATGATGATCTGTCACAAGATCATTTGCAAAAATCTTAATTTAAATAGTGCAAACCCCTAATATTACTATAAATCATGAAAATCTGCAATGGCATTTTCGAGATGGATGGCAATATCTGTAAAACTGATAGATGTAAACGCTACCAGAAGTTACGTGATTATTAGACACTTATTTCTCAGTTATACTGAGTTATTACTGGAGAGTAAGTGGTACAAATATTGGTACAACAAATATATATTTGCGTGTAAAAAATAAACATCCCCCTAAAATGGGCTGTACTATTTTAAACGTAGCTTTTGTTTATAGTGGATGTTGTAAAGATCCCGTAGCAGTAAATAATATACAACTGAGTGATCATGAGTTGTTCCAATGTAAGTGTATATTTTAAAAAAAAGTATGAAACAAAACTCTCTGGATGTTGTAATTAGTATCTTTCTGTGGCAACCCCCAACCTTTCCCATGCCTTGAAGACGTATTTCAACAAGTTTATGAAATGGCACTGTAATTTCTTATTGGTGCAGGGAATTGAATTTGGTGATCCAGAATGCCCTTCTGGTATTGTGACTCTGTGATATCAGAAGGAAGTTAAACTAGAAAAGAATCAATGACAAGGGTAAAATCACAGCCTATTTTTAAATGAAATAAATGTAAATAGATAGAATTTTAATTACTGGATTTTTTTTTTTTTTAAAGCAGTGAATTTCAGGATAACTTCCATGAAGTTGTTTTCTTATGTTCTGTTCAAATCCTTTAAATCCTTTCCTTTTCTGGAAAAGATTGCTTGGATAAATGTGAAAAAACATATATTTCAATATGATTGTCTCAACTTGATTTTTTTTTAAAGTCTTCATTTCAAGAGCTCTTAAGAATAGAAAATAATCTTACCTATGTTTGTTTTTTTTAACTGAATCTTTAAGAACATTTTGCAAAAATGTTAGTCACCTGGAGCTACTAGATATGTGTCCCTCAATGCACACGTTCTAGTTAAATGCATCATAGAGAGAATATACCCTCAAGGATTAAATGCACTGTAATTCCAGATGCTATTCCAGATTGACAGTTAGAAATGTTAAAGGGACAACACTGAGTTTCAAAGCTTTATAAAGTAGGAAGCTGTTAATATTCATCGGAAGAAATACTGTTATACACACAGTAAATGCACGCTGTGCGTAGCAACCAGGCACGCATGATCACCTGTGTCTGTGTGTACATCCTTTCCAAATAACTGCTGAGGCTATTGGCTGGTTGCATGGGAGTTTAATCAAGTTGGGGTGGGGGTATAGAGAGCTCAGACCTAAATTTTGTGGCTGTAGATAGCAGGCTAGATGGGAGAGGCTCTCAGCAAGTTAGGTTCCTTTTGAGTCCTTATTAGATATCAGAGACAGAGGAGAAACCTTTTAAGTGCCCCATTTACAGGAGGTGCTTCAGCTGAAGGTCACACACTTTACACAGCCAAACCAACCAACCCTGAGATAGAAATCTGTAAAGAACCAACAAAAATATTTATTGCAGAATGACTTGGCGCTGTTTCAGAAGACCACTCTATAGGCATGCCTTGAAAACTTTGTGTTAGCTTCAGGCATTGGATGCTGTTCCTTTCTTAGGCTGCGACTAGCGTTCTGTGCCATTTTCAGCTAGCTGGGCCGTTTTGCTAGCTGGAGACTAATCTAGCAAATGCAAGCGTGGGCTAGACTTGTAATTAAGTATTTGTAATGATAAACTAGACACCTTTCTTGAAGATAAATTGTATTCTGTAACCCGTAAATACCTTACTGCATTACATACCTGAAAAATTAGAAGTATTAGAACTCTGCTAATGCTAAATAATGCAGAAAATAAAGAGCTATAGGAAGGCTAGAATATTCGTGTTGAGCAACAGATCTGAACTTTCAGAAATGGAAGACCTCTAGAGAAATGATTTTACAGCAATTCCTGATTGCCCTAAATGTAACAGCGCAGCTTCATTGACCCTTTAAGGGCAAGAATTTCCTTTAAATTTTAACAAACGTGTTGAAGGGCTCAGGTACTCAGGTATGCTCAACCATACTTGCTAATGCAGTCGTACTCAGTTAAAAGTGCGTATGCATCTGTATGCGTGTTTATGAAGAGACATCAGACAAAGATGTTTGTTTTTGACACTTATCCATCAATCGTGTAATGAGTTTTTTCATTAATGAGGGGAACCTTTGTGTTCTTGTCTAAAACCTGCTGTGTGCTGAGCAGCAGAGATGCTGTGCTGAGGAT